AGAATGCCAAGAGGAGGGGGCGGGTAGTGGCCACAAACTCACAAGGCGAGAACACTTTAGCAAGAAGGGATAAAAGACTTCATGTTATGACGATCTTCATTTGCGTTATAATTCTGGTTTGCTACATACCAGGAGAGATACTGACAATACTGCGTGTAGCAAAGGAAAATTTTCTAGGAATTAAAAATGCGTATCAATTTAACAGGTTGGCCTGGTCAATTTCTTACCTCCTGTTCACAGTCAACTCAAGCGTGAACATCGCCATCTATTACAAAATGAGTTCTAGATACAGGCGCACGCTAAATAAACTGTTGTGCGGAAAATAATAATGAGCTGTAAGTGCAGCTACAATTTGCAATCAAGATGATGTTGTCAACCTCCATGCACTAATAATATGATTATTTTAGTGATAATGTACGAGGGGGAATTCTACCTCTTTCAAGGTCACCGTGAATCCTAAGTCATCTTAATGTATCGAGGGCGACACAACATGTATTCAATTGTATTAATTGTTGTAATTTAGTCATACTCCGATACCATTTTAATCAGCCATCAACACGCCGTTTTGACGTTAATTTTTACAATCAAGCCTCTGGAAATCTTGTAAAGCCTACCTATAGATCTAGATCGATTTCTGTTTGTGACAAGCACGTGGAGTTGTTACCTGATGTATCTTCTCATTGATAGTTATTTTTGTATTCTCAACTTTGTACAAATAAATGTCCATGATGAATTTATGTAATGGTACCCCCTCCCCCTTCTCACAGTACTCTTTCGAGACTGCAAAGCTAAACAATTTCAAAGGCTATTCCCGACACAAAATTGTTACTGAGTGCGCATTCGTTGTGATATTTGTAGTTAGGTTTTGGCTTGGTGCAACAGGCCAACGCGTTAAAAGCAAAATTTAAAAAATAATGGAACGTAAAACGTTTTCTTTCGTTTAACTTGGATCCGACCCACTGTCAACTTTTCTATGGAATTACATTATATTATTTGAAGATATGCTTCAGTTTTAGCATTAGCTTAAGTATCATGGAAATTGTAACACAAATGCATTTTAAAATAAGTACCGAAAATTAGAGATGTTACTGGAGAATAATATGCAAAGAAAGGAAGAGGGAAAGATAAGGACAACATATTTTTTATAGGAAAGAAGGAGCATACCACAGCAGCTTTCAATCATCTACAGATTTGCTTATGGAGAGATGTGCCGTATTTGAAGGCTCTGCAATACATTTATTTAGCCATTAAAAATTTTTTTTTTTTAAATTAGCGCCTCGCGCCTTGATATCATTGCTGAAAACGTATCTTTTTTTAGGTCGAATACTTCCAACAATTAGAAGTCTATACTTTTATGAAGACGTCTTTAGTTTGTAGTTTTGAGGACGCACTTGTAGCAAAATAATAAGTGTCTCCTACAGATATCTTGGAATAGCCATCAATAGCAATCTTGACTGGCATCCCCATGCTGCTCTTGTGCATCACAAAACTAATTTAAAAAATGTTCCTTTTAGGGAAATTAAGAAGTTTTCATGTAGATAATAAAATTACGTCACTTAAAAAAAAAACCTATTCTATGATTGTTTTACTATTTTGTGTTTGCTGTTCGGCTGGAAACTGTAGGGTCAAAGACAAAGAACAAATTGATAGAAAGAACGCCAGCAAGATATCTGGATATATTTTTTACTAGAATAATTAATTAAATGTATAAGAGCACAAGTACAAAAAAGATAAGTAATATCATAAACGACCCATCACACTCCCTTTCCACCAAAATTGTAAGATCACGCAGGGGCAGATACGTACAATTAAGAACAATGAAAAAAAAATACAAAAGAAGGTTCTTACCATCTAGTACACGGCTACTGTCAGAATAAACATTAATGTGTATTGCTATTTCGAATATATACATGTATTCATATGTAAACGTCTTGTGATAAATTCCTGCATATGGTCGAATTGTGTCACAAATGTGATATGTCCATTATTGTCAGGTTATTTTTCTTTTCATATTGAGAGTAACATAAAATTCAATTTCTATGTATACCGGCATGTGTTTTTACGTCCTGTACAGCCAAGAAAAATTTTCTTCTGGGACAATAAAGTATCATTTTTATCTTATCTTATCTTATCTTTCTTGATAACACAAATCTCTAAAAGGACATCCGACTGAACAGACATACGTCAGATATACGGAATTCAGTAATCAATCTTCAAAATGCTCACTTTGCTATAATAGTTATGCCAAAGTGCAGAATTTTCCTTATTATGCTAAAACACCGGCTTTAATACTGATCCGGTATTTATTGTCAAATTTATAGTCAGTATTCAAGAGCAAAGCAAATTTGCCCGTCATTATAACTATTTGGACAATTTGTGTTCACGCCCATTTTTTTAAAGCTAAATCAGTTCAAGCTACTTTTGAGAGAGAGACAGAGATATAT